ACACACACACACACACAGCTTGTGCTGTCGGTCAGTGTGCTGCTGCTGCTGCTGCGCAGACGTTGTGTTGCTTCCAGGTTTCATGAGGAAAGACGCGACAGCAGTTAAAACCTGAACCCAGAGCTGTAGTTTCAGGGTTCAGCCTCCAGAGGGCGCCACCGATCAGCAGCACGTTCATGAGAAGCAGCATCTTAAAAACACACAGAGCAGAAACCTGCAGCACATCTGGAGACTAAACACAAATTATTATTGTTATAATGATTTATGGCATGAATGACAACACACACACACACACACACACACACACACACACGTGACTTCATGGAACATGGTAACACTTGCTGTATTTTCTTAGATAACTTTTTTCTTTTTCAGACTTTTTTCTATATATTTTAAACAAACAGATGTGACCGTGGCTGTGGAGGCAGACCGGATGTCCATGTCTGTGGTGAACATCAGGACCTGTAGCTGTGAGCAGAACCAGGAGGACGGAGGACGGGTTGCTGCAGGACCCACATAGTTCAGGACAAAACCTGTCAATAAGCTTCTCAGCTGTGCATGAAGCAGGTCATTGTTCTTTGTTCTGTCGCTAATTAGCGCAAATCCCTGCTGGGGGCGGGGCCTGTGGCGGCGGGGGCGGGGCCAGGGGTTGCCTGGCAGCAGCAGGGTGAGTGACAGCTGAGCCGCTTAGCGCTCAGACTGAAGCAGCGCTCAGAGGAGGCACAAGGGTCCGCTGACAGGAGGAGAGCAGCGGGGTTTCTGGTTCCTGAGGAGCCGCACAACAGAGTCCAGACAGAGTTAATGTTCACCTGAGGAGCACAGAGACACGCCTGGACCACCTGCACAGGTAAGACACTGACGGCAGCTACAGCTCAGCCTGAGAAGCCTGAACACCGAGATTATGAGGTTGATCAGAGGAGACCTGTCCAGGTGGTGCAGGGAGGATGCAGCAGGTCAGACAGGTGAGAGCAGACGGAGCTAAAACTCTGAAGATCCAGACAGAGGAGGTCTCAGGTCCTCAGTCAGAGGCTCCTTCATATGGGCCGGTGCTGGTCCTGATGCTGGTGTTCTGAGACAAACTGCTGCTGGTTGTTCTGCTCACTACCGGCACCGAGCAGCACAGTCAGAGTTCACAGCTCTAATGAACTGCTGACTGTCCAAGTGCAGATGGTTCCTGGTTTATTACCTTCCAGCAGTCAGAACAACGCGGTTAGATGACTGATCACATCACTGATCTACAGGCTGACAGCTAAACACTAACCTGCAAATAAAGTCTGTGTTTCTCTAAATGATCAGCTGTTCTTGTAAATCACATTATTTTTTACTGTATTTAAATCAGCACATAATATAATTATTCTAGTTATTTACTATTTGAAAGAGAGAAACATGTATTTAATGGTGAGATGACTCAGTCGACTGTTGTTTTACCGATTTTCCCTGTTTGTGAAATTACACATAATATCAGAAAAAAAGATTCTTTTACATGTTGAGTGTTAAAAAAAGAAGGAAAAATCATCCCAAACCGTAGAGAAGGTCCACGTTAAAGCCTTCACGGACCGATCGGTGTCACAGATGAACGAGTCGGTTCAACTCCTCCAAGTTCTGCTTTTCCTGAAAAGTTTGTGTTTACGAGGACAGAAAATCAGTGAACCAGCAGAAGTTCCCTCTGAGGCGCTGCTGCTTTAACGTCTCAGTTCATCAGCTGATCGCTTCATGTCTTCATTCATTCAGGAACTGATCCATTGTTTGGGTCATAAAGTGTCACTGAAAGCTTAAAAGCTTCCTTTTCTCTGAGTCACAAACGTAGCTTCAGCTTCAGCTGCTGGACGTTTGGATCTGCAGCGAAGCATCAGGTCCCAAAACTGTTCCTGAAACATTCAGATAAAAGCTGTGAAACCTTCGTTCAGCACAACACACACC